GAAAGAAGTCCGCCTTGGGGCGGCTACGTATCAGGCGACGCAATGAAAGAATCGGGTTAAAGCGTGCGATTTTGGAGAGTAGAGACAAATCGATCGATAGAATAGGATGCAGTAGAAGTGTGAGATGTGAATGCAATAAGTCAAAAGGCCAGAAAGAGTTTCTAGTGACGGCACTCCAAGAACCAAGTGGAAGCATTCCCGTCGCCAGCATTTGTGACAGATGTCCGGCGGTACTTTGAACGCGTAGCAGCCCTTTCGGTTTTTCGAATTTTTACCAAAACAAATGCAATTTTTTGTTCTTTTCGTTCTTATCGTGAACGATGGGTCCCAAGCCAGTGAATTATGGTTGAGGTGAATTACGGTTTTTTCAAGGATTCCTTTAATGGTGGCGGCGGTGGTGTGGGGTCATATGGGAACCAGTAAAGGGGTGGGAGGGAGAGGAGGTTGCGCAATATTCCTGGAAAAAACGCGAACGCGATTGTTGGCCCTGGTTCCGGTTTCCTACATACATGACCCACACCCCGACTCTCACCCAGTGACTAGCCGACGTCCTAAATTGGCCAGCCGTCCGTTGGGATTTTCACAACGAAGAGATGGGGGAGAGAGGGTTCGTGTATGCGTGTGATATATGTGCGGTTAGGTGGTATAATAGTTCAGCTTGTAAGAAGGATGGTGCAAAAAATGTTATTATAGTATAACGTAAGGAGATGCGGGAAATTCGCTGCTTCAGAAGCCCCCACCTCATCCCGCTGACACCGATTTCGGAGGATTTTGGGGGTAGAGTTGGAGTGTTTTGAGTGATGACAGATTAACGATACTATCGATACCATCGACAGCAGTAGAGGAAGGTTGGGGACGTCCTCTCTCCCATGCATTGGGAGGGGTTGTAAAAAGGATTGAATGGGCGCAACGTGACTACTTGGAATAGTCCTTGTCCTACTTCCAAAAAAATTGGTAAAGGTTTCACAAGTGGGTTCAACCACTTAACCCACGTGACAGCATTCTAGGCGATTGTTGAAAAAACTAACCGTGTGTAATCGATGAGCGATAGTCAATACTGTGCAATCGGCGAACTGTTCTCGAATAGTCCTCTGGAGAAGAGAATCAGTTTCGGCGTCAACGGCTGCTGCTGCTTCATCCAGAATCAGAATACGGGGGCGACGTAGAAGTGCCCTGGCGAGGCACAACAACTGTCGTTGTCCAACACTGAAACAGAAATAACTGAATTGAGCATATCAAGCTGCGTTAGCGCCCATTTCTCCGTGACGTCAGTATAGTCTTTAGACAAAATTAGTAGCGCGCAACTTCGTCTATAGGGGTATGCCAGCGTCCAGTCATAATACTCATCGCGGAAGGCAACCTGTGAGCTTCACATGAAAAGCGAAAAGTGTCGCCACGGTGGATCGAACCATAAAAAAAGAAAAGGTTAATAGTGGTTCAGGTACAGCATTGTTCTCCTCAATTGTGATGCATGTGCATATTAATTTTATCAATCTACCTGGGCCTCCATTCAAAATTCTCTGAAAACTACGCCCCTTTCTTGATATTTCACGTTAGAGAATTGTATGACGCTGTTCCAGCATCGCAGGACAAGAAAAGTAGAACACGGTTAAGCGTAGTAGTGGAGATATCTATCATAAGTCATCTCTGAAGACTTCACCCCTTCGAAACCCCTCCTCCGAAGTCAAGCCCGACTCCACCCATTCCATTACGTTCCACAGAATAGCGCAATTTTCTTGAACATGGACACCGCCTTGGCGAGTAAATAGGGAAAGATCCTTCGCGAAAGCGAGTAAAAGTTCTGGCCCAGGGTTAACCCTACGTTGTTACTAGTAACAACGGGGGGGGTCGTATGGTTGGGAGGTGGGAGCGTGCGGGAGAAAAAAATTGCTGTTTCAGCGCGTGTATATACCCCCCCCGCTCGACGGCATTTTTGGAGGAAAAAGTGGGCGGGGTTTTGATGGGGATGGAGATGGTGGTGGAGGTAGGGAAAAGGGGGTCGTATCAAATCCACCTTGGGGGAGGGGGGTCGTAAAAATTTTTCGAAAAGTAACAACGATAGGACCGACCCTGTCCTGGCCACAGAATTAAGTAACTTGCCTGATATTGTTTGAATAATTTTAAAACTTGCCTCAGATTCTCGCCTCCCTCTGAGATTTGGTGTTGAAGTTTTTCGGCGAGTGACGAAACGAAAGGCTCCAAATGAGCATTTCGAAGAGCGTTCCAGATTTCTGCATCAGCTGAAAAGTGAACACTTGGTGCTGCCGGCTAAAAATTCAACACACTTCGTTGGAAATAATGCACTCACTGTACGCATTAAATGGATCTAAGTTGAACCGCAGAGTTCCTGAGAATAACACCGGGTCTTGAGGCACAATTGTTAGTCGAGATCTCAGCTCCTGAACAATAATGGATAGGAAAGTTGATAAGAATCGGAAACCAGTGAAATTGTGATAGTGAACCTCTAAAGAGAGTTTTGATATGTCCTCCCCGTCAATCTCAATGCTTCCGCTGTCTATCTCAACGGTTCGGAAAAGAGCGAGCGTGAGGGAACTCTTTCCTGAAATAGCGAGTGATTAGTTGAAGCATTCATTCGAAAGTACAAGATATCGCAAGAAATGCTGAACATACATTATCCAACAAACGCGGGATCTCCGTTCCGCAATGAAATCAATAATTAAGAAGTGATGAGCCGAGAGTAAGTTTCGAAGAAGTAAAGCTCAAGAACTACCCAGAGTGCAAAAGAAGTAGTAGCTGTGCAAGAGGTATCCGCTCTGTTCCCCCCCCCCCCACCCTTCCCCCTCCCAATCACTGACATGGGATGATGGCGACCTAACTAGCTCACTTTATGATTTTAGCACATACAGGGGTGGCCAAAAAAAGAGACACTTCACTCAACATTCAAAACGGAATTATTTACGCGTTGCGAAACCAAACCAAATGACCCCAACTGAATATTGAAGAGCACGTTATAATCTATCAACAAGCTACACAACAGCCTTCTACACCGACGACATCAGAAGATTTTCCCACGGAAGCATTGTGCACGGTACGAGCTCAACGAGGTCGTCGAGATACCATAGACGATTACGACGTCTCTGAAACGCTGGTCAAAAGCGGTTTTGCATAGTCACAGCTAATGTCTCTGGAAGCTATTCACCAGTTAATCCATTGAAGAAATTATGTAGCAGCTTCAGGCCGGAGCGATTACGGTAAGCCTCGTTGAGCTCGACGGTGACGGCAGATGACGTCATATTCTGAAGACGGCGGGGGCAGTGAAGGAGGGCCTGCTTCTGTTTACGGGGGAACACCTAAGGAATATTCTGCCGTAAAACTTTCATTAACATCGGCTCCCTGTGCGACGAAAAGTTCGATGATGTGCGCCATGGGCAAAGTGTCTCTTTTTTTTGGCCACCCCTGTATATAGTGATAATTCGCTTGAGTTCAGCTGTTATTTCGAGATGCGCTTACGCACATACTTTCTGCTCGGCGTCGACGAGGGTTTTGCTTGCATATGTCGCGGATGCGACAGGCTGAGTCTCAAGCACAGTAATTGGCTCACTCACTTGGATGTCCCCCCCCCTCCAAGGACATGAGCACCGTTGTTCAGTTGTACTAAAGACGCATGGTGCTTGCGCTTGCGAATAGCGTGCGGAACTAAGCGCTCATGATATACAAAATGAGAAGCAGATGGAAACAAATATCATTCATTGCTT